GAATATTGATCACCATGATTTTATCTCAGTAGTTACATGTTATATATCAGACTATCAACTGATGATCCAATCTGTTGATTTTTTTTTCTGAAATATTCCAGTGTTTTTAATTAAAATTTTTGAAAACCTTCAGATTTGAATGTTAATAAAGGTATATATATATATATATATATATATATATATATATATATATATATATATATATATATACACACATATATATTTCATTTACACACATATATATATATATATAAATTGTTGCATATATATAGATATATATTATTGTTGTATATATATATATATATATATATATATATATATATATATATATATATATATATCAATAACTTTTTTTTTCTTTCAAAAAAAAATATCAAAGTTTCAGGCATGATCACAAATCAATGAAGAAAATCTTTCATCATAGTAATTTAAAAATTGGTAAGAAACATTTTTTGCAGGATCATATTAATGTTATGTCACCACAAAAGATTGAGACAAAACATTATGATTCTGATATTCTTATCAGTGCATTTGTATATTTTATTACAACTCGGTCATTATATAACAGACTTCAAGATGATCTTAAGTTATCCAGTGTGAGAACATTACCAACTTTGTTATGAGAAACTCCAAGATTAGATGACTTTAATTTTCTGGGTGATATTTTTGTGAAATTTCTAAATATCAGAAAAAAGTGTCTTCTTTTTGTTGATGAGATGTAGGCCAAGATTGGTCTACAATATGACAGGGGAAATTTATTTCGCTCGGCTGAAAATTTTGAGGGATTAGGCAAAAAGATGGTTTTTATAAGCCTTGGATAACTAAATATGGCTTGTACTTACTTCTTGATTATGTCCACATTTTTAAAAATATTCGGAATAACTGGATTACTGAACCGACTTCTGAATTATTTTTTCAAGATTTTTGTGATCAAACTGTAGCTGCCATTAAAATACACCCATTATTAAATGGGGAAGATACTGCAGAAAGAGTTAATTTCATTGAAAATTTAACATTTTTGTCAAAGAAATATACGGCGATACTAAGAAAGATGATTTTTTTTAAAGACAAATCACCCCACGCAAGACGGGAGTGCCACTAGCACGCAAGGTGTTACAGAGGATTGCTTGTATGCTTGAGGAAAGGTTACGAAGAAGGACGGGGAACAGGCTCAAGGAGTCAGATGTAGATTGACATTATACTTGAATATTTGAAGATTATAGTAATCGAGAAAGCAAGTAAGGGGAAGGGAGTTCCACAGACGGGAAGTGTGGGAGAAGAAGCTGTTTGAGAAGGAGAGACATTTAAACGTTTCGACAGTGAAAGGGTGGGACCGAGATGCCAGCCTGGTAGCACGTTTAAATTCATGCAGTCCGGGAACCATTGAACATAGCTCATCGGAACAGTTGCCGTGAAAATATTTCAAGAAGAGACAGAGGGAAGCCACGGCATGTCTGTGGGATAGCGATTGTAGACTAGATGTCAGATCAAGGACCTCGAGATGTACAGCGGGTGCTATTGATTCAATGTATCTGTTCCACCTCATGTCAGTGGACAGCGTGAAATCAAGAAGTCGTAACGAGGCGGAATCAAGGAGTTGGGAATCAGTCATTCTGATGGGAGACAGGAATGGATCTAGGTGGTGGGTAAAGGAGAGCAGTTTCGTTTTGGAGGTATTAAAGTTTACAAGCTACTTCCTGCCCAGTCAACCACAGATTGGAGGCACTTTTTCGAGACCAGCAGCTAGGTTAGTTTTGTCAACGTTACTGGATTTACTTATTAAGGCAGGAGTAAATAGTGGTGTCGTCCGCGTAGATGCCAACTTGTGAACTGATGACATCGGGAAGGTCATTGATGAAGATCAGGAATAATGTAGGGCCCAAGATAGAGCCTTGGGAAACACCAGCGTTCATGATAAAGGAGCCGGGAGAGAACCCGTTTAGGACGACCTTCATTTCACGGTTTGACAGGAATGATTGAATTAGTTCAAATAATCGACATGTAATGATGTATCCCTGAAGCTGATGAAGAAGGCCAAGCATGCTAAACCCTATCAAGCGCCTTAGAGATGTCTAAAGCCACGGCTCGAGCTTCTCCATTATTGTTGAGGGCTTGATATACAAATTCGGTTATGACCGTGAGCATGTCAGCGGTAGATTGGGCAAAGCGGGAACCATGTTGCTTGTCGGAAAGCAGATTGTGTGACGTAAGGCGCTTAACCACTTCGGCGTTGATTAAAGCTTCAAAGACTTTACCGAAGAGTGGGTAAGAGACCGATAGGACGGTAATTAGATGGGTCAAAAAGGTCAGCAGAGTCTTTAAAGACAGGCACAACAGATGAGGACTTCCAACAAGCTGGAAAGGAAAAGTCAGCGAGGGTAGTAGTTGTAAAGTTTAGAGAGATGATATCAGATTTAGATGATGAACATCTATTATTTCTTTCTAATTCTGGAAAAAGGACAAAAAATTGACAGGAAAATAAAGTAAAAAATGAAATCCTTAACAAGAGATACTAGCTTACATTCAGTGGCTTAATTGATATTTGCTTTGTTATGCTTGATGAATTTACCATAGACTATTTAGAAAATGAATTTGGAAAATTAAGACAACGTTCTGGTGGCGTATATTTTATAACAGTTCAAAATATTATTGAAAAAGTCAATATTGAAAAAAACTAGAGCTACTTCTTAAATTAAATGTTGATGTCAAAGATCCAGGCCATAATTGCTCAAAATGTGGACATTTGCTGGATGAAATAGGATGCCAAACCTTTGATAACTTACCAGACCTTGAAACTAGAATCCCTAAAGATAACAAAAATGTCATTTTTGTATATAACAGGCTATGTTACAAGAAAACATTGTCCCATTGAAGAGGAAATATTTAACAATATTTAATATAATTAGTTTTTATTTTCAAGAATATGAACATTTTTGAAAGAAATAGATTGTGGTAAAATTTTTTTTTTAAATTCCACTATATACCACAGGGTTACCAGATATTTTTTTTCAATTTTCCCTCTTTTTGAATATATTTAATTAGTTAATTCCCCAAATTATCCTTGTAATTAATTTTAGGTTCTTGTTAATTTAAATGGATTTTAATTTTTAAAACTATGTGTATTGATAATATCTAGTATTGTATCATAGCAAAATAAATATTTTCTTCATCTTCTGCGAAAGAAATTGTACATGTAACAAAAATCACAATAAATTTTGTAAAGATTATCAAAATTATTGTTTCTTTGAAATTCACATTTTTTGTAAAGTATTTTCAAACTTTGTCGCTACACGATACTGAAATTGCTTTCTGATTGTATTATACAATTATATATTCCGTAATAAATTAGCATAAACAACTTAACTCATTATTTTTGCAATATTATCTAAACATGTCTAATTTATATTGAATAAAGTGATTTTGCGTATTTAGATATTTATGGTATTTTTGTTCAAGGATCAATATTACAATAACATATCCTATTTTACTAATATAAGCAAACGCAATATGACATCACTTTCTAAATACCTTTGGAAACTGAAGGAGGAAAGCAAAACTCTTAAAGTTAAATGGAAAATCCTAAAACAAGCCAGAGCTTGCAAATCTCTGAACGAATCTTGCTTTTTATGTTTGCAGGAAAAAATACGTATTATTAAACTTTTGAACAACAGCCAATTATTAAATTAAAGATATAAAACCACCGTTTTTTGTAGGCATATTAAAGATCTAACATTACAATCTTACTAAACTTTTCATAACCCTAAACGTTTAAAATTATAACTCACCTCCTTTGATATACTTTCTACCCTCTTATATACCTTTCTATCTTAGATGGTGATTCTTAAAATGTTTTTGCACATATATAATGCTAGTAATTTTATCATAAATTGATTTACATTCATACATATTCTACAGGTTATACAGTCTGACAACAGGTCAAAATGTGCTTATAAAAGTCATATTAATATACCATACTTTTTATATACCTTTCTTATTATATTTTAAATTCTGAACTAAAACCTATTGTTTAAAAAAAAACAAATAAATTATGTATTCAACATACCAAGAAATAATCTCTTAATTTATTAATTACAACACATTCATTGATTTCAAAACGAGTAGCAATAATTCCAGCCTAAATATAAACAAATTCAGCTCTGGCTTTGTTTTAAAGTTACCAAAAACGTTTCCAATTACTAATATAACCATCCTTTGAACTTATCCCTCTTTCCTCCTTCATCGTTTTTACTCTTTCCTATTCTCACCTTTCCTCCCCTTCCCCCTCACGCTTAGGAGACTTGGAAATGCTGTGCCTAAACACTTAACCGTTGCTGTCGATTTAGATTTTTCGGGTCGAGCCATCATTTTAACACCTCAACCATCCTTCACCAAACTGATATCAACAGGCACTATTGTTTCACTCTGTCACCCTTTTGCCTTTCCGATCTTTTCTTTATCCTTATATGTCTCTCTTCTGCTTACAAACAGAATTGTTCATAATCATTTTAGTTTTCACCAGCCGAGGTGTAACTAAATTCACCGAAACGATGTTGCACCTTTGTAGTCAGTAAATTGTTTTTGTCTATATAAACAATATATATATATAATGTTCAATTCGTTGAGGACACGTCTTTCAAGAGCTGCAACTTTTTTCCTAATTGTTCTGATTATCATATTTTATTTCCGATAAATAATGACAAGCATCAAACCTAAACTCTGCAAATGAAAAGGCAGACTGTAATCGTTGTCTTTAAGACAGAGCTTAGAAATTGCTCGTCCTCTGAAATTTGCCGAGTCGTTTTTTGTCAAAGTTCGCAAAGAGCTGTTGTGGGATTCAGTAGAGCAGTAACGAAACATAAAACAACTGCTAAGGGTCCTAATCCAACCGGAACACACACATTTCTACGAAATGTGCAGAAACTACAAGAATCCCAGAAAGTTAATTAATGTCATTGCTGAGGAAGTCAAAGTTTGAAGCTACTTTATCAGAAGAATTGTGGATGAGAACCTTTGATAAAAGTCATATGTAATGCGCAGAGACAAAGTCAGAAGTTAGCCATCTGATCTGCGCAAAGCGCTTGTTGAACTTGTTGAAACATCAAGAGCCTTGGACTTTTTTGGTGTTTTTTCTCATCAGAGAAAAAACTTGGATCAGTAATGACAAATGGCTATGCAGAGACACTAAGGACGTTCTAATGGTCATTCACACAAAATTTCTGGTAACTGTGATGGCTATGGGATTTGTGAGAAATGAGGGAGGTGTCATGCTTCCTCGGTACTTCCTTAGGGTTTAAGGATCAATGCTGAGTCTATAAGTGGATTTTGGAGAACGTTGTGGAGCTTTGGGTAGAGAGCGTGAGTAAAGGAAGACCGTACACCTACCAACAAGATTCTGCGCCGGCTCATAATGTTACAACTTCCTCAATCACGTCATCCGAAACACATGGTCTCCTTCCTCTTCGGATCTGAATCCATTGAACAACTACGTATGGGCTGTAGCCGATAGGAGAGTCAATCAACGCCCCTATAACACTAAAATATCTCTGAAGTTCGGCATAACTCGCACAATGTCTAAAATAGATAAGGATCATCTGATTTCAGACCTCGTAGTGAAGGTGTCATCAATGCTAACGTCGAATTCATTAAGGAGATTCGCCTAGAAGACTCTCAAGATTATTCATGCCAATTTTTTATAAAACTGTTATGGTAATTTACCCAAGAACGCATGGACTCTCGCAGCCATAAATAGGAGCAGGTACTGTCTTTTTGGGAGAGAAGTTTCGGGCATTCCTAAACTTGTTGTAACACTCTCCTTTGTATATGTTTGTATTACTGTTTCTGTTAATATATTTGTTTAACTCAATTCCTCTCTTTGTGTCTTTATTTCTGGCCCTAACAAGGCCACAACACAAATAAAGCTATTCTTTTATGTGTTATGCATATTTTACTAAATTCATGCAAATGTCCTCGAAGAACCGAGCAATATATAATAGTCATTTCGCCCCAAGCAAGGCCGGAGTGCCACTGATTCGCAGGGGGTTGCATAAAGTGAAGGCGAGAGAAAAGAATATGTATGGGGGGGGGATGAAAGGATAAAAGTTTCAAGACATCAGATGATAGCGATTGCATTTACATTTTTGAAGATTGTAGTTATCAGGGAAGCAAGTAAACGGAATGGAATTCCGCAGGCGGGAAGTGCGAGAAAAGAAGCTGTTGGAGTAGTAGAGGTTACATTTAACTATTTCAGTTTGTAAAAAGGTAGGATCTAGATGCTGGTCTAGTAGCACGCTTAAATCTATGGAGTCAGGGGCACCAACGTAAGAAAAATTTCGACAGAATGGTTGTCATGAAAATATTTGTAGAAAAGATAGAGAGAAGCCATATATATATATATATATATATATATATATATATATATATATATATATATATATACGTGTTTGTTTTTCGCTCGTGTCTGTGCTTGTCTAAGTGTGTTTGTGTGTGTGTATGTGTGTATGTGTGTGTGTGTGTGAGTGTGTGTGTGTGGTGCGTGTGTGTGTGCAAGCGCGTGTGCACTGACGTAGTTAAATGTGTACAAAAATGCCATTTCCGCGCAAACCCCCAAATATTTTATCTTCCTCTTCCTCCTCCGCAAATAAATCAACAAAAGAAATTGCATTCATTCATTAATTCATAAAAAATATTTGTTCCTTTCAAATCTGTCTCATACGCTCTCATTCTCCACAGACCTATTTATTCCCCTCTCTCTGTCTCTCTCCTCCCCTATCTTTTGCATTCTTTCCCTAGCTATGGGTTCCTCCATCTGCACCTTTCCCCACACTTGTCTGCCGATGAATTTTTCACCCTCCTTCCATTTCTCTCGCCCTCCTCCAACTGTACAAAAATAAAGCCGTGCATAGTTTTTTATTGTCATTAACAAGTGACTTTATATCGCCATTGACTTTTTCAAGAGCGAAATTGAATGGAAGGAAAAAAGAAAAAGAAAAAAGAAAGATTTGTAAAGTATAAAATAAACTGTTACAAATATAATGAAACGAAATGGAAAAAATGAGCAAGGAAAAAGAAAACGTAATTTGATATGCGAAGTTTAGAAATGGAATATCTAAGTGCATTTTTATGTGACTCATTCGTAGCAGTTTGTGTTTATCATGTCCGTATCTATCTATCTATCTATCTATCTATCTATCTATCTATCTATCTATCTATCTATCATGTACATATTTCTATTTGCTCATATCTATCTATCTATCTATCTATCTATCTATCTATCTATCTATCATCTAGATATTTCGATTTGTTCATATCTATCTATCTATCTATCTCAATTTGTTCATGTCTATCTATCTACCCATCTACATATTTCAATTTGATCATTATCTATCTATCTATCTATCTATCTATCTATCTATCTATCTATCTATCTATCATGTACATATTTCAGTTTGTTGATATCTATCTATCTCTATCTATCTATCTATCTATCTATCTATCTATCATGTACATATTTCAGTTTGTTGATATCTATCTATCTATCTATCATGTACATATTTCAGTTTGTTGATATCTATCTATCTATCTATCTATCTATCTATCTATCTATCATGTACATATTTCAGTTTGTTGATATCTATCTATCTATCTATCTATCTATCTATCTATCTATCTATCATGTACATATTTCAGTTTGTTGATATCTATCTATCTATCTATCTATCATGTACATATTTCAGTTTGTTGATATCTATCTATCTATCTATCTATCTATCTATCTATCTATCTATCATGTACATATTTCAGTTTGTTGATATCTATCTATCTATCTATCTATCTATCATGTACATATTTCAGTTTGTTGATATCTATCTATCTATCTATCTATCTATCTATCTATCTTTCATGTACATATTTCAGTTTGTTGATATCTATCTATCTATCTATCATGTACATATTTCAGTTTGTTGATAGCTATCTATCTATCTATCTATCTATCATGTACATATTTCAGTTTGTTGATATCTATCTATCTATCATGTACATATTTCAGTTTGTTGATATCTATCTATCTATCTATCTATCTATCATGTACATATTTCAGTTTGTTGATATCTATCTATCTATCTATCTATCTATCATGTACATATTTCAGTTTGTTGATATCTATCTATCTATCTATCTATCTATCAATCATGTACATATTTCAGTTTGTTGATATCTATCTATCTATCTATCTATCTATCTATCTATCTATCTATCTATCTATCTATCATGTACATATTTCAGTTTGTTGATATCTATCTATCTATCTATCTATCATGTACATATTTCAGTTTGTTGATATCTATCTATCTATCTATCTATCTATCTATCTATCTATCATGTACTTATTTCAGTTTGTTGATATCTATCTATCTATCTATCTATCTATCATGTACATATTTCAGTTTGTTGATATCTATCTATCTATCTATCTATCTATCTATCTATCTATCTATCTATCTATCTATCTATCATGTACATATTTCAGTTTGTTGATATTCATCTATCTATCTATCTATCTATCTATCTATCTATCTATCTATCTATCTATCTATCTACTGCTTCTTCCCTTTTCTCAACAAATGAAAATTAAATAAGAAATAGCAAAAGGTACATTTGAGTTGTTATCATTTGATTGGCTGATGATTTTTCTCAGTATCTTATCTCTACGAATAGGACAATGATTTGAGCCACGAAATCGAATTCTGTAATCATTTTCACAATCTTTATTTCTTATTTTTATACTTCAAATGGGGGACTTCAAATTAACCAAAAACGAGTTATAAACCTGACTGGGGGATTTACGAGGTTTTCCCACTCGTGGTTCCATGAGCTTGTAAGGAAAATGGAAACAAAATGGACACTTAGAATCCGAAAGAAACAGTTGGACACATAATGAGGAAAGTAGTCTTGGATAATTTGACACTCAAAAGACATAGCGAAAACAAAAGGGGATGGGGAAGAAGCGAACCATCCACGTGACCAAAAAATGACCGATAATGAAAAATGGGGAAGATAACGTTTTAGAAGAATAACATTGACATTAATAATTACAAAATGTTAAATAGTCAAAGAGAAATTGATAAAAACCAAAGGACAAAAAGGAGAAAAAGAAGAAAAAGAAAAAAGAAGAAAGAAGAAGGAAAAGAAAAAGAAGAAAAATAAAAATAAAAAGAAGAAAAAAATGAAGAAGAAAATTAGTTGTTAAGAAATAATGTAATTATTAATGGTGACTAAAGCAAATAAAAATGAAAAACAAATAAATAAATAAATAAATAAATAAATGTAATATACAATAATAATAATGATGATGATAACAATAATAATAATAATAATAATAATAATAATAATAATAATAATAATAATAATGATAAATGCAGATTCTGTGATAAATATCCAGAAACAATTGTCCATCTTGTATTATGTTGCAAGGTATTGGCACCCACTGAATATAAAACACGACACGGCAGAGTGGGCCAATATTTGCACTGGAAATTCTGCAACACTTACGGAAAGGAAACTGCAAGAAATTGATATGAACACCACCCACACCCGATTACGGAGATAGGACCGGTAACAATTTTATGGAACACGCAGACAGAAGAATCAAAGTTAATTGCCCTGACATCTTGATTAGAGACCCACAAAGATAAAATATGCCTCCTTATTGACATATGGCAGTCCCTACAGACTGCAATGTATCTTTGAAGATCTTCAAAAAACTATCAAAATACAAGGAACTTGAAATTAACAATTCCTGTTGTAGTTGGAGCCCTCGGATTGATTGGAAATGATCCTAATAGTCTCATTGAAGTGATTCTGGTAGCCCATGCCTTAAAGACACACAAAAAACTGTACTCACAAGTACAGCCCACACCTTACAAAGTGCTTTATCTAGGTAAAATATGTGCGATTTTATTTTATTTTCAAAACTGATCAGTGGAAAATGGCATGATGCCATTTCTGACCCTATGTTCCGATAGACTCATTAAAAGGATTCCTGGTAGGGTAGCTCATGTCTTAAAAGAATACAAAAATTGTACTCAAAAGTACAGCTCCCACATTACGTAGAGTTTTATCTAAGCAAAATGTATGTGATATCCGTTGTTTTTTTTTACAAAAATGATCAGTGGAAAATTTCATGGAGCTATTTCTGACCTTAGGTTTCTGTTGGGACCCGGAAGGGAATTATTATACACCAGAAATTGAAGGAAATAATAATAATAATAATAATGATAATAATAATAATATATGTCAATATTATAGTGGAACACATGATAAAAGATTGTATGGACATTACTCTCAGTCAGTTACAGAAGACAATGAAGTCATTATTTTTTAGGGACAAGGAAACATTCATAATGAATTTTCATTTACAAGGTGAATCCCAGAAGTTTTGAGATTTTTCGAGAGAGAGAGAGAGAGAGAGAGAGAGAGAGAGAAAGAGAGAGAGATCTATTAATTTCAAAGAAGTACAAAACTCTAATCTCCTTCAAATTATGATCCTCTCACTTTAATGTCTTTGTTGTGTCGCTCCAAGCACTTCATGAATGGTCTCATGGTAGTCATCCAAATTGATAGTGTCCGGGACTCTTTGTCACAGCTTCCTGCATCTTCACAATGGTTTCAAAACAATTGCTCCTGAGTTTCTTCTTCAACTTAGAGAACAACCAAAAGTCACCAGGAGCAAGGTCTGGACTGTAAAGACGTTGGGGGACGGTTTTGTTAACGTAAAACTTTATTGCATAGCAAGCTTCCAAATTGTCTTCACGTTCTGATTACATTTTGCAAACCAGTCAGCTGTGACATGCAGTGTTTAGTAGGACGTGTCCAAAGAGCGGTCACAACCGCCTCCATCAATGTGAAACAAAAAAAGTTGGCAGGTCAGCTTATTAGGTATGTAGTAATGATCTACTAAAATTTCAATAATCTAGAACAGTTATAATGGCTTCTCTTAAAAAGTCTCAAAACTTATGGAATGCACCTCGTATATTGACATACATATAAAAACTACATTTATATTAGAATACATATAAAAACTATATTTGACATACATATAAAAGCTAAAGGACCTGAAAATGATGATGAAAGATTACAAAAACATTACCTTTTCATCAGTGCAGTTAAGTTAAAATTCGGCTAAAGAATATGACAAAATAAGTAAATATAAGAATCTCGAAATTGCGATTGAAAAACACGAGGTACCGTAAAACGATTATTATATCTATAATAATTATATCTTGCATATAATCAGAAATGCATATTAACAACATCTCTGGTAGCCCTTTTTTTTACAAGAGATTCAAAAAATTGCAATGATTGGAACATATAATATATAAACACTGTATATGTTTAACATATACACTTTTTATAGTTTCTTTATATTGAATTATTGAATATCCGATTTCGTGCAAAGGTAATGCATATTTACTGCTTTGCCTTACCCTTAAGGAGGCACGGTGAAGTAATGGATAGTGGCTCGGATTGAGGAATCGGAGAGCTGAGTTCGAATTCCAGTCGAATCATTTACTTATGTGCTAATACCCTTGGGAAAGGTATGAATCCTTTTCTCTCCTCCCCAGCTATGGGTAAGTAGCAAGACAGGGTCTATAGCCTGGGATGACAACTGGAAATGGCAACCTACTGCGGGAAAAAATGTGCCTCGTCAGTTATGTATCGAAAGATACATGATCGCCCAAGCGTGTATCACGTATGGCAAATAACTGACTGAAATTCACTTACGTGCTAATGCCCTTGGGAAAGATATGAATCCTCTTCTCCCCCCAAGCCAGTTGTTGGTAAGTAGCAGGACAGACCAGGTTCTATAGCAATTGGTTTACTGCAGAAAGAAAAAATCTGCCTCGTCAGTCATGTATCGAAAGATACATGATCTCCTAAGTGTGTATCACGTATGGCACATAACTAACTGACTGACTTTTCAGTCGAATCCAGTTACATTCACTTATGTGCTAATACCTTTGAGAAAGGTATGAATCCTTTTCTTCTCCCCTCAGCTATGGGTAAATAGCAGGACAGACCGGGTTGGCAACTGGTCTACCGCAGAAAGAAATGGCAACCTACTGCGGGGAAAATCTGCCTCGTGAGTTAGGTATCGAAAGATACATGATCGCTTAAGCGTGTATGGCACATAACTGACTGACTTGCCCTAGCTGTGGGATAATGACCCGGTAAAGGATTACACTGATAATACTATGTTAAAAAATTGTTAAATCAAACTTAATTTAACATAGGTATCATGTGACAAAATTGGCATTTCAAATTAAATAACTAACTAACTAAATAATAATAATAATAATAAATTTCACAGATATGGCTATTCCGTCCAATAAAATATCCCAGCAAAATAATTTTATAAACTTTCAAAGTATAAGGACATAGAAATGGAAATTGCTAAAATTTATTATTTAAAAACAGCCACTATTCCAGTAATAATAGGAGTACTAGGATTGATTAAAAAGAGTACGAAACGTGCATTCCTGGAAATCCAGCACTATCTAGGATATAAAAAAAAGTTTGCGGCCATGAGTACTGTTCACATATCGAGAAAAACTCCCTTAATGTTATATGCTCAATGACTTTTGAAGAAAAACCTTTTATCTCAGGTTTCAGGGAAAAGTTTTGGTAAAGGGTTGTGTTAAACAGTGAATCAGGAAACTATAATAATAATAATAATAATATTATGTAGGATTTTGTGCTTTTTTTGTGATTTCAATAATAAAAATAGGAATAATTAAAAGAATACTGGCACTTGCATCAAGAAAATATCAGGAAAGCCGTCACGATGTGAGATGAAAAAGTTTGTGTTCATGAGGACATTTCACATACTAAAAACTGTCTCAAAGCAATCTGCTCAATAACTTTCTGAGAAAAATCTTCCTTTGAGATACAGAATTGTATCAAACAGAAAATCAACAAATTATAATAATAATAATATACAGGATTTTTGCTTTTTGTAATTCCAATAATATTAGGATCACTAGGAATAATTAAAATGAAATACTGGTACTTGCATTAAGTAAATCCATTGAAACCCCTCACGAGTTGAGATACAAAATAATGTGCACCTGAGGCGAAATACCGAGAAAAAAAAAAAACTCTTAATGTAATATACTCAATAACTTTCTAAGTATAACCTTCCTTTATCTCAGAAAACTGGCATTGATTGCCCAGTGGAACTGTTGCAGTAAGAAAGCCTTTTAGGAACGGTACAAATAATTTGAAAAGTAACGAACACTTACAGCCAAAGAGAAATGACATGATGTCTAAGGTTGTTGGTTATTCATACATTTATTACCAGATATTAAAATCTTATCGGAGAAATTATTATTATTATTATTAATAATAATAATAATAATAATAAAGCAATGATGATAGAAAGTAAGTGTTAAGAAGGCGTGTGGAATAAAACAAAAAATGGGACCAAGATAGTGACAGAGAGAACAGATGTTACAAAATTCTACCCCCACCCCCAGCATTTAAAAATATTAAGAAAACAAAGAAAAGAAAAGAGAAAGAAAGGTTAAAAAATGTCCTTAATATGCCCTGGGTTCAAACAATGAAGAGGAACTGGACAATG